TTTCTTTTCAGAGCACCCCCCACAGAAACCAGCCCCAGGCTCTGTGCTCGGCTTCTGCCGCCCCATTATGTGCTCATACCTGCATCCTTAATTCCTTTCGACTCCTTCGCCCACTCACAACCTAGATTTTTTTTCCCAAGCTGCCCAAATGCATTGATTTTTCTTACTCATCAACACGGCCTTATTTGTTCTCTTTCTTGCCCCTTTTATTTCACGATGCTTTTATTTTCTGGATCACTTTTCAACCCAATCCACCAGCCCACCCCACGCTCCCACTTTCCCATCCGCTAATATTTTTGCATTGCCAACTTGGGCTCACGGCTGCTTTGCATTAGGCACAAGAAGCAGGTAGATGCTTTAGTCAAAGGCAGCAAGACCATCCATAAACCTCTCCATCCATGCACATGAACCACACCAGGCGTGGTGGGCAATTAACATTTTTATGGAGTAACGAGAGGAATGGCGATCCCAAAGGCGGGATATTGATCTGCTCATAACACCATGAGTCAAAACAACAGTGTAAAAACTCTCCAATTAACAAAGTGCTCAGGGTGGTGAACAATCAAGTCCCTCCAGTGGGAGCTCATCTTGTTTCCGGAGGAAAAACACTCGGCGCCCTATAAAAGATCTCGCACCTCAGTTCTCCTCATCGTTTCAGCTTCACGTCTCCTCTCGAATTCCTGCTTTTTTTTAATAAAACTTTTTCACTTTTAATTAAGACCAGCTTTGTCCTGATCGTGAGGTCTTGACCACTTCTCTTCTACACCTCATCTCTGTGACTGTCTCTGGCCACAGCTGTTCAGTCCTTCTGCCTAGGTTGTCTTCTTCATCCACATCTATACATAAATAGTAGAAAGCAACTTAAAACTTACTGGTTCAAATGTCTGAGGACAGGACTCTTCAGGTTTAGCTTTGGACTCTGTCTGGTCACCACTTCTCACTAATCTCTAAGTGCTTTAACTTCTATCTTACATATTTGCTAAACACAAAAGAGAAATTAAAGACTTGCTCAAAGGAAGAGAGCAGAGTCCTCTGTACAGGTCAAGGACCGCTACAGGCAGATGTGCATTGCTGATTTTTCTCTCTTCTTCAAGAACCTGACTTCTAACGAGAATTTATTCTTTATATATAATCCCATCTAACTAGACATCTATTACTGCTAGCTGACAGACATCACAGTGTCTCTTGCCTTTGCACCCACTCAAAGATGACAGTCTTTCCAGTAGGTCTGCAAAGATGTGCTCCCGCCAAGACAAAGACCAGTGTCACCGGCAAGAACGATCCTCATGCCACAGCAGTGAAGGGTGCCACAGGAGCAGCGGTGGATCTGGATGCCATGGGAGCAGTGGTGGATCTGGATGCCATGGGAGCAGCGGTGGATACGGTTGCCATGGGAGCAGAGGGTCCGGATGCCATGGGAGCAGCGGTGGATCCGGATGCCATGGGAGCAGCGGTGGATCTGGATGCCATGGGAGCAGTGGTGGATCCTGTCATGGAAAGCCACAGGATTGCCAGCAGCAAATTTATCAAGTATCCTCAAAGATGAAGTGATCAGGACATTATATGCATGTCATACACATGCATGTCCTTGATCTCATGCTGAGTTCAGAAAGCATTGCATGTCTCCCAGCAGTCTCCAAAGAAAATGTCTCCTCTCCCTCCCCTGGTGAATCCTGTACCTCTGCTGAGCTTATCTGTGGGTGCTAAAATAAACTGTGTACATCACATTGGCGCTATTTTCTGTGTGTCAGTCTGTGTCTATACAAGAGCCATTATACAAGAGCCATTACAATTTGGAGTTCGTGAGAGTTTTGTGTTCACAATTTTTCTTTCACCTTGTATTTCACGTCATAGTACAAGACACCTTGTTCTTGTTTAACAGCCCTGAAGTTACCCTGCCCCAACACGGGCAACAGGGGTAGGCACTGCCACAATCTCCCCTCTGGACTCCAAAGGAAAAGAGTGAGAATACAGATTTTTAAATGTTGACATTTTAGGAGGCCACCTGAGGCCTCTGCAGTGCAGGCAGCTCTCCTCCACACCACCTTCCCACAGAGCTGGAGACCCAAACCCCCCGACCAAGCACCCATGGGCTGCACTGCACAAGTCCTCAGGGCTGGCTATGGACACAACCGTGGGGCAGAAAATGTCTTATAGGCAAAGGCAGAACCCCCTTTTTTTGCCATCTGACCCCAAAGCACCATTCTCCAGGTAGGTATCTCCACATGCTTGAGACAAACCCCCCAACAAGCCTTTCTAGAAACCCTCTGCCCAGCATTTCAAGAGCCCTGGGTCAAGCCAGGGGCGATCCAAGATGCTAGCGTTACACAATGAACTGATAGATTTCTTCTTGGCTTGTAATTAAAATTAATTGTGTAATTTATTGGTCGGGTATTGCCATTCATGAAATGGAAGTTGTTCTGATAAGATTATTCTCAAGTGTGTCACAATGATCAGAAATATCTGGCATTGCTGAAAAGGGCGCAGGCAGCGGCGAACTCCCTGAACAGGCTGCCTGCTTTCGGTGTAGGAATCGTTTGGAAATGCTGGTTGTGTGTCTGGTATTTGCCTTAAGCCCCCATTTTCAAGGCATGTTAAGGCAGACAGCCACAAAATTTAGAGGTGCCCAGGACTGCTGGTTGGGTGCTGCTGATCTTTAACGAACTCAGAATAATTAAAACACGAGGAACTGAATACAGTGCAATGCTGAGAGCCAAAAAATATTTTAAGTCTTTTTTCGCGGAGCTTACTTCCCACATTTCTTCTGAAGCCAGAACAAAACACAATTAAACAGAAGTGATCAAACCTGGGTACAGTTTGCCCTGATGCTGTTCTAGTTCACAGTGGCAATTAAGCAATACAAAAGAAACATTTAGGTTGCGTACCTGATTCATTAACCCTGCCCTGTCCACCTGCCTTTCCAAAAATCCTCCATGCTTCAGTAACAGCAAATGTGTCAAAAGTTTTTAGGGCTGCGGGAACCCCTCGGGGCTTGCAGAGGCTTTGTGATGGTTCAGGCACAGGCATTCAAAGCAGGAGCTCACCAGAGGCTGTTTATTTTCCCAGCCACTTCCCCAAGGATACCGGGTCTCTCAAACAGGAATAGCAAAGGCAGGAGGGGGCGAAGCCTTCCTCTCACTGTGGTCTTCATCTGGGAATAGCATAAATACTGCATCAGCGTGAAGAAAGAAAAATGAAAGGCAAGAGAGGTGGACCAAAAACGTCAAATTCTTGAGCATCTCTGTGGGTAAGTGGTATATTTTTCAGCCAGTATTTTCCAAAGACTTTTGCACTGACAAAATCACAGCAGTTCCCTATTTCAGCTAGCAACACTGATTTTAGTCTTTTATTTGCTGCCTGTTTAATTACTGAAATGTCTTTCACAAGTAATGGCAGAAAAGGGCAAAACAAGACCCATGGTCCTAAGCACTTCCTAGCCCATGCAGCAGAGCTACAGGAAAGGTACAGGGAGTCTCTCAAATTACTGCTTGCAATTACCTCTCACTTCCAACGTGGTACCTGGCCTGGCCCGAAGGCTTGTGTGGGTCTGTGCGTTCATCCCAAGAACACCCAGATTTGTTGGCCAATTATGAGCTAATTGGGGAGTAGGGAAAATTGCTCCAAAAAGGATGTTCCCATAAGTTTGGAGAAAGTCCCCGGGGTCTGCCAGCTCCCCGCAGTGTGGCAGCTGCCCCAGGCCACCGTGCGTCACCGAAGGCAGCACCCATGGGAGCCCTTCTCCGCCACACGGCAGCACCGGAACTGCCTCACAACCTGGAAAAAAACCATCGGCACTGCCGCTCCAGCGTCACTCACCGGCTGAAAGTTCACCACATAATTATGTACCTCACTAATCCTGGATTACTACCTAGGGCAGCTCTTCCCCCTTCCAAAAATAAGAATCCCAACTGCTTTTGGTCCTACCAACGACAGCGGGAAACTTTTGACCAAAAAAAGCTTCTTAAGGGCTGTCTTTTCTCTCTCTTCACCACTCCCCTGGATTTCAGCTGGTGTTAAGAGAATCGAGCTGACAGTGGTACCAGTCAAACTGCAGCTAAGGAAGAGTTGTCTACCATGCCAGAGGCGTTATTCGTACTTACAGGCACATCTTGGGGTTTATGGGTATTTGCAGGACTAAAGCACCTCCGGATGTTTCAAAAGGATGGTGTGATTTAGGTATACGACATAATTCCCCCCCCTAAACGCAAAGCACTCTCCGTCTGTGATCAACACCAAAAACAAACTGGCGAAGATGTGGAAACAGGGGCCACCCACGCTACTCCCCCATTGGAGCTAAACACAGGTAGAGCTGGCAATTAAATGTTTCTGCAGCACGGGAAAGACAACCGATAGCAAGAGGCGATAGCCGGTGCGGATGCAGTGAGTCACGCAAGCAACCTGAAGAGTGGGGAGGCAAAAAAAAACAAAGCCATCATCAAATTAAATGAACAGGTAGACCTCTGCAACAGGGAGGTGCTTCGTTTCCAGATGGGGTGCGCAGAGAGGGTATAAAAGCTCTCCCGTCCCGGAAAGGCTCACTCACTCCTTGCCCCTTCTCTACAAGAGCATCTCGGGTAAGAGCAGCGATGCTGCAGGGCTTTGGAGCTCGGCACAGCTTTGAAACTCTCTGGGAGGTGGATGGGTTTTGAGTGGGCTGAGCCCCGCGTCTTGTACTGGGTTGGGGCTTGTTCTGCAGGCGCTTGCGAGAAGGGAGGTGGGGTAAGGAGGGAGCGCAGAGGATGCCGAAAGAGAGCAGAGAGATTTGGACTTGGAGGGAGGCTCTGGGTTGTTGCTCTCCTCCCTTCGGCAGAAAGATCTCTCTGCTTTGGAAAGCCAGGTGTGGTCAGCCTGCCCAGCTGCTCTGGATGCTCCCAGAGTCTTCGTCTATGGCTTTGGGGGGCCGGTCCCGCGGGTGGTAGGAGAAGCTGGTGCAAGGTTTAAAGATGATTGTGGGATCTTGCACAGACTGGATAAATGTACTTCCAGATTTCTCTTCCCTGGAAGAGAAGAAGAGGGAAAGGAAAGTCCCTGGCAGCTCCTCTCTCTCAGCAGGTCAACCCAACACACGACGATGTGCTCCCGCCAGGACAAGGACCAGTGCCACCGGC